GTTTCGTGACAACAGTCTTATCGATAGACCACTCGTTATGTTTGGCCAACACTTCCCGACACTCAGGCCTTTGTCTCCACACAATTGCCATCATTTTCTGAAGCGTACGACACATACATAGTATGGCAGTCGTGACCACCGATTCATTTGTTTCAAATGTTTGCGAACTATAAATACACAGAAAATAAATTACTAATTATAATACAAAGTAAATAAAAACATTAATAAAATACTTACGCCTGAAGATCGATACCAAACAACTGTTCGCCGATAACATAGAGGCTATAAATGTCTGATTTGTGGTCATATTGTTTGCCTAAAAGCACTTCGGGTGCCATATATCCCAACGCACCACAAACTGAATGCTCGTATCGGCTGGCAGTGTGTCCGTCGGTGTTGTGATCGGTGGCCAAACCAAAGTCACACAGTTTTACGATACGATTGGATGAATAGATCGGATCAATCAATATATTGTCGGGTTTGAGATCCCGATGAATGACCGGTGGATTGGATTCGTGGAGATATTGGACGCACTCTAAGAGCTCTTTGAATATTTCACACGAAATAAAGTATTCAAAGATATGCATCAAGTCTTCGGTTTGTCTCTCGAAGACAAACGATGAATGACCGGTGGATTGGATTCGTGGAGATATTGGACGCACTCTAAGAGCTCTTTGAATATTTCGCACGAAATAAAGTATTCAAAGATATGCATCAAGTCTTCGGTTTGTCTCTCGAAGACAACGGCTTTGTCTTTGAGAAGGGATTTAAGACTTTGCGAACAGAACTCGGTTTGAATGTAGAGATGATTGGACTCAAGCCATGAGTTGTAATATTTGACCACAAATTCTGAGTCTATTTTTGCCAAACTTTTCACTTCTTTTACAGCTTTTTGTTTCTTTTCTTCACTTAATTCTATGAAAATATTGTATAAGAAATATATTTAACTTTTATTAATTTTGCAAAATAAATAGTTATCATATTTACCCCCAAATTGTACTCTTTTGACGGCATATATCTTATCATCCAATCTATGCTTTACTTTAAATACAGTCCCAAAACCACCCGAACCTATGGCTGACATCTCAATGAATAGTTGTTTGTAAATACCATCACTTGATGTAAAATCAATTTTATCTTCGCTTTTATCTTGACTTTTATTTTCAATTTTTATTTCGCTTTCATTTACTGTTAATATTGTTTTTTCATTCATTGGTTTCAAATCAATTGTATTGTAAGTGATTTGGTGTTCAGTGGCGTAAACGTCGATAAAGTTATTATAATTTGTTTCAATCATGTTGTAGTTATTATTCTGGATGTCTTTCGATACTTTATTTATTTTATCATTGAGTAAAACATATATGAATTCAATGCAATTATAATTAGTGGACGATTTAACGAGTTGTAATTCTTGTATCTGGTATGGAGAGTGTATTAGTTCCATAATGACTTCAAAATATTCATCACCACCATGATCAAAATAATCACAATCTCCATTCATAAAACGTAGACCATTTGTTGTTAGAAAAAATGTGGTCAATTTCATTGATGTAATTGCTATTACACTATTTACTGAGTTGTTTGGTATGAGTCGAGGTATCAATACTTTACTATCGTTTATATTGTGTCCCAATTGATAGTTTCTATTCTGACCCCAACTGAATACCTGTCCGTCGGATGTGATGGCAAACGAAGAGTTATTATAACAATAAATGGATTGTATTTTATAATTATTAAATTGCAATTCAATTGGTAAACAATTCCATTGACTTTCACTCCCATACCCTATTTGTCCATAAGTATTGCCACCCCAGGCATACACCCGGCCATCACTCGTGAGGGCCAGTGTGTGTTCATAACCACAACTAAGTTGTGCGATGTTTGTACCAAGCACATTTGTTAAATATGATGATGTCGACGGTTTCTGATTGTATGGATTGGTGACATTGCGGCCCAATTGACCATGATAGTTATTACCAAAACCATATATCACATTCCTATCATTCACTGCCAACACAAAATTAATTCCGTTGACAAAGTATTGGATGTTTTCATGACATAATTCAGGGATCAGTTGTGGTGATAGTATAGGAGTGTTGTGTCCAAAGCCAAAAAATCCATCGGTATTACCACCAAATCCATAGACCATATCATCGGTTGTGATGAATAAAACATTATAATTGTTATCCAAATCATAGAAAACATGTAATTTTGTAATATTTTGTTTAATATTTGCCGAAATTTTATCACAAAATAAAAACTTTTCTAATAATTGACACATTTTTACATAAATATCAAATTATTAATACATATTAAAACACTAGCATATAATAATTTATTGATTTAATTGTATAAATAATTATAAAAATTACACATTTTGTTAAATGCTTTTGTTTAATAAATTGTTAACAGCAAACACATGCTTAAAACAAGTTAATGTTGGACTTTATATCAGAGTTCTTTTGGGGTATTCTCAGACTGTGGACTTTGAAATGCACAATTCCTCAATATAAAGTATATAATTTTGCCAATGTCTGCCAATGAATGCACCCCCACCTTAGCATTATCTTAAAGTACATTTACTCATAAAAAGTCAATATGATATAAGGGAATTTCGATTTGAAGTGGTTTTACTGTATTTATGAATTTGTTAACATTATTGAAATTCAATTTAAATAATTTTGATTTAAACCTGATTTAAACCTTATATCAGCTTAAGCGTTAGGTTTTACTGAATGAATAACATTACTTGACTTTTGTTTTAATGAATTGAAATATAAAACCAAAATAAATGAATTTATTATTGTTAAATAAAAATTTCATTTTTAAAAAATTAAATATTAAACAATAATTTGCCATTTTAAACTATTTGTTTAATATCAAATTTTTATCATATGTTAATAAGAGTTGTTATAATTGATTTAATAAATATTTTCAATTATTTAACATCATATAATCTTATATTTAACCATCACATATGTTTAATATTTTAACACATTACATATGATAGAACTCGCAATGAGATTCAGACGCGTTTTAAATACAAAACAAGTTTATTATTTAAAAGCTATTTAAAAATAATACATAAAATCGGCGGACAGTCGGAGACTGTTGAGATAAATTTTACATTTATATTATATAGTATCATTATAATACAATAATTATTTGTTTTGTCAATTTTAAGTAATTTGCAAATAAAATTGTTTAAAATAGTAAAGTATTAATCTAATTACGTTCAAAGCATGTTCAATATTTACACCTAAGTTTGGATCTACTTTTGTAAAACTTTTAGTTATGTAATTTAAATTATACTATCACATTTAGCATATTTAAAAAATAACATAAAATGCAAAAAAATGTTATAATGAGCTTAATGTATCATTAAAATTAGCTAATTAAAGACATTCTGATAACAATTTCAATGTTGGCGGTTATAATATTGTAAAAATACCTTTAATTACATTTATAATTTAATCATAGTTTGTTATTCATAACAGTTGTATTGTACTGTGCAATTATCAGTCAATGGTAATTTATTTCCTTTATTGATTTACAATGATTGCAATACAATAGTAATTAGTGTTATCCATTGTATGATAAATAAATACTATGACCAAGTTATAAATGCAATTATAGTTATTTTTACGTTTTACAGATAACTTAACGATTTATTGGCAGACTATAACATTACGGCCGCCTTTGAAAATGTTATATCATGTGTACATAAACTAGATAGTTTGAAATTACCCAAATTGCTATATGAGAATCAGAGATTTTGTCGGACAGTATATCAGATCTTGTTTTTTTATACTGAAATGTACTACAGCGTTAATAGTGCTATTGGTTTAGTACAGCCAAAGCTACAGTGCTTGACCTTGTCGACACCAGTGGGATTGGTTAGCTACAGGGGTGGAATAGGGGAAAAGAACTCTGCTTTATATTACTGTTACACCCATAAAGTTAAAGTTTATACCCAATCCCTTTGCTTAATAGTATAGTGCTATATGTCTGACGATATTATTGGTTACAAGTAAAGCGCAAAAGTTAAATATTGTTCATATAACTAAATGATCTTGATTAAATTAATAATTACTTTTTTGCATACAATAAAATACACACTTAATATTTTTAATTTTCTAATTAACCCATTCCTATTTGGCTTACTTGTAACAAGTAACAAGTAATAGGCCAATTAAAATTCATGTTACAATTATTTTAAATAAAAGTCTTAAACTATTGATGAGTATTGGCTGATCAATAATTTTTAAAATCACGATTGATTAAAAGTCAATTTTACCAAGGTGAGTCAAAAATTACAGTCGACTCTAAAACTAGTAAAGACTGTTTAATTTCAAACAAATAAAAACAACTTTTATAAAAATGAATTTAATTTAAAAATTATTAGAACATCGATTTTCCAAGAATTAAACATTCAAATTTGTTAGAAAATTAGAAATAAAACTGTGATAACCGGGAAACTTTGTAAATTATGTTGTTATTGAACTGTAACACAATAATTAATATGTAACCGTAAATGTGTATGCCCATTGGTGTGATAGCGGGCAATTGGGAATTATTGTTATAAAATGGAAGTGCATTCAATAAGTAGTCGAGTGTGTCCAAACTTCATATGTTCAAACTCCCTTGGGTCTGGCCGTAGTGATCACTTTAATCGGCGAAATTTTGAAAATTAAATCTTTTAATTCATGAATAAGTATATCATATTATATATACTAGATAGAAAGATATGGATGAGAGGAATATAATTCTGAAAGAATTTTCAAATTCGGATTTAATTAGAAAAAATTATTTAAAAAATAAGAGATGTCGTGATAATGGTATACGTTTTTTATTACGAGTAAAAAATACTTACGCCTGAAGATCAATACCAAACAACTGTTCGCCGATAACATAGAGGCTATAAATGTCTGATTTGTGGTCATATTGTTTGCCCAAAAGCACTTCGGGTGCCATATATCCCAACGCACCACAAAATGTGTGCTCGTATCGGCTGGCAGTGTGTCCATCGGTGTTGTGATCGATGGCCAAACCAAAGTCACACAGTTTTACGATACGATTGGATGAATAGATCGGATCAATCAATATATTGTCGGGTTTGAGATCTCGATGAATGACCGGTGGATTGGATTCGTGGAGATATTGAACGCATTCTAAGAGCTCTTTCAATATTTCACACGAAATAAAGTATTCAAAGATATTCATCAAGTCTTCGGTTTGTCTCTCGAAGACAACGGCTTTGTCTGTGAGAAAGGATTTAAGACTTTGCAAACAGAACTCGGTTTGAATGTAGAGATGATTGGACTCAAGCCATGAGTTGTAATATTTGACCACAAATTCTGAGTCTATTTTTGCCAAATTTTTCACTTCTTTTACAGCTTTTTGTTTCTTTTCTTCACTTAAATCTATAAAAATATTTTATAAAAAATTTGTTTAAACTTTTTAAAATTTTGCAAAACAAATAGTTATTGAATTTACCCCCAAATTGTACTCTTTTAACGGCATATGTCTTATCATCCAATCTATGCTTTACTTTAAATACTGTCCCAAAACCACCCGAACCTAAGGTTGACATCTCAATGAATAGTTGTTTGTAAATACCATCACTTGAGTTATAATCACTTTTATCTTCGCTTTTATTTTCAATTTTAATTTCACTTTCATTTGCTGTTAATACTGTTTTTAACCACAATTCAGTATGAATAATGTGGTTTATAGGATC